GATATCCACATTTCACTAATCAAACCATCCTTATTTGCATTCCAACTGCCCAAAACTTTATTTCCCTAGCACAGGCTTTGGGAAACCTATGCAAAACTTAAGCTTAACAATCCCCTAAGATTTTCCCTCCATTTGGTAGCTACATCCAGTTAGTAATAACAAAGAACACAAGCCTAGAATTGATATTGTATTTTTAGGATTGATGTTTGTTATCAGTGGGCAACATAACAATTCAAGTAGCCTGGTTATGGTGAAAGTAAGTATGAATCAATATTTTCGCATGACACTGTCTGTACCTCTTAGTTTTATTTAAGACAGCAATCTATGAGGTACATTATCATGCGAAAATATTAAACATTGGAATTGGATCTTTTTAGGAGTTGGTGTGATTTGCCACATGCTCCTAAATAGGTATAAGAGCCTGCAAGAATGAACTGACCCCAATGATTATGTATGATCACTCCACCCCAAATTCACCTGGATTTCCTTTAGAAGCACCATCAATGTTCAATTTCAATCTACCTTCTGGCGGATAAAGCCACGAAACCCATTTCACTTTAATGGTAGCTTGAGAAACTGGATTGAGATTTAGGGAACAGAGAATTGTTTTCCCCTGATTCTGAGTCCATGGATTTTGGTTTGACATTATATACTTGCATGCGGCAAAACTGTAAAACAGTTTTAAATAAGATATAAGAGCGGAAGTTTGAGATTTTCAAAGATTCTCCTACATCTTTCCCTCCATAATTGCCAGAAAACCAGAAGAGGAATACCCCTAGTCAACACATGAACCAACATAAGAGTGCTTGAATATTCTTATGAGTCACAAAATCTTGTAATTGGACTTTCATTCTCAATCAAGTGAAAACCAAAAAATCTAGAAGCATAGCCCCCACACTTCTTCTGGCATGAGAGGAGCTAATGAACACATGATTTAGTGACTCTGCATCCTTCTCACACAATACACACCTACTAGCTAAAGCCACACCCTTCTTCTGAAATGTAGAATCCATAGGAAGAATGTCCTTCCATAGCTTCCATCCATGCAACATGGCACTGGGAGGAGAAATTTGCTTCCATAGATTATAAAAAGGCATTTGAACTGGCCTAGAAGTGCGAACTAGACTCCAAGCCATTTTTAAAGAAATGGACCCAGTAGGAGTAAGTTGCCAGATCAACTTATCCTCTTTGGTAGATAACAAAACAGAAGAAGAAACAATTTCTTGCAGTAGATTACCATCTAGGCATTGAGAGACTCCTTGCAAGCACCAACTACCATTTATTAATAAGTTTGATAACATTGGAAAATGACTAGGCTGCCTAGTGTTCCTTAATATTAATGGACCTGATCCAAGCCAATTGTCACACCAGAAGTTCACCGTATGACCCGATCCCACCCGCTTTTTGGAGTTGTTGATTACTACTCCTATCCGCAGAACCAGGCTTTATAAAGTCTGGAATGACTGCCAATTAGCTGTTTAAGCGGATGCTGATTCTTAAAATATTTTGAGGAGAAAAAAGAAGACCAAAGAGATGAGCCTTGTAGAAGATGCCACACTTGTTTCATTCCAAATGCTTTCTGCACATTCGAAAACTTCCTGATCCCAAGTCCACCCTCCTCCTTTGGCATAGTGATATCATCCCAAGAGCACTAGTGCCTCTTGCGAACATCTCATGTACCAGACCATAGAAATGAAGCCATAATGGAATTGAGTTTAGCAATAATACCTTTGGGCAAATTTAACATGGCAAGTAGATGCACAAGAATAGAATTTAAAACCGATTGAATTAGAACCACCCTGCCCATATTAGATAAGAGCTTGGCATACCAGCCTTCCAGTCTAGCTTGAAATTTCTGCAACAGATCCTCAAAATAGAGCAGCTTGACCCTGCCCTTGATTATTGTACACCCCAGATAATTAAATGGGCATGCTTTGATTGGTATTCTAGAAGCATGAGACAAGGCATTCCTCCTAGCAATGGTAATTTTAGAAGAGCAATACAAAGAAGATTTTTGCTTGTTAACTTTCTGACCAGATGATTCCTCATATCTCCTCACAATTCCAAAAGATTACACATCGACCTCTTGTTCCCTCTCAAAAATATGAGAGTGTCATCCGCAAAAAGAAGGTGACTAAGTAAAGTAGAACCCTTCCCGTGTGATAATTCTTTATGAATCTTTGCTGGAAGCAATAAGAGAGCCCTCTATTTAGAACCTCTTCAGGTAATATAAATAGACTAGGAGATAATGGATCTCCCTGCCTATGGCCTCTAGAGGATTGGAAAAACCCATGTCTAACTCCATTAACAGCCACTGAAACATACTGGTTGTTAAGGCAATTGGAAATAATATTCAGAAAGTCATCAGAAAACCCGAAACAACTCAACACCTTCTTTAGGAAGTCCCACTCCATTCTATCAAAAGCTTTCATCATGTCCAATTGTAATATTACCTTGCCCGCTTCTACCTTCTTATCCAACTCCTGCACCATGAATTGAGCAAGGGAAATACTATCCCCTATGCTCCTGCCTTTAACAAAACCATGTTGCTCCACTGAGATCAACTTGGGAAGCAAAACACTAAGTCTCTTTGCCAACAACTTAGCGAAGATCTTATACAGAAAATTACACAAGCTAATAGGCCTGAAGTCCGAGAAAGAAATAGGAACTTCCTTCTTAGGAATTAAAGTTAATAAAGTAGCATTCACTGATCTGGGAACAACACCACCCTGTAAAAAATAATTCACTGCAGCTGGAAGATCAAGCTTTAATGATAGGCCAGGATACCTGGAAAAATTTCCCGGAGAAACCATCAGGGCCCGGAGCACTCTGAATAGACATTGAGAAGATGATATCCTTCAGCTCCTCTAAGGTAGCCGGTGCTGTTAAACACACATTATCTTCCATAGTGACTAGAGAAGGAATGACTGAAAAGAGCCCTTGTTCTAGAGAATGAAATTCAGTTTGATAGAGGTTGGAGAAAAAACTAACTGCACAATCCGCTATTTCTTTCTCATCATCCAACCAATTACCTTCTGCATTTTTAATTTTCAAAATTCCATTCCTACTCCCTTCCCCTTTGCAACTGCATGGTATAACTTTGTATTCCTCTCCCCCTCCATAGCCCATTTCATATTGGCTTTTTGCTTCCAATAAGTTTCCTCCATTTTCACGATTTCCTCCGATTCTTTATTTGCCAATTCCAAAGCAGATTGATTAGCCTCTGAATTAGTCCTTTCCAAGTCCATCTCAGCTTGTCGTAAGTTTATCTCCTTCAATTTAATATTCTTGAAAAGATTTCCAAATGTACTCTTATTCCATATTTTCAACTGGTACTTGAGATATTTCAACTTCAAAAACACATTCTCAATAGGATTTGCTGAATAGTTACTAGGCCATTGAGATTCCACCAGCTGGAGAAAGCCTGCATGATCAGTCCACATGTCGTGAAATTTAAAATAGGATTGTCTTCTTGGTTCAGCCACCTCTGTTAGTTACAATATCAATGGACAATTATCTGAAGAGCCTTTAGCAGCATGCTCCACCTGTGTACTAGCAAATCTTTGCCCTCACTCAACATTAATAAGAGCTCTATCTAAACGTTGCCACATTCTCATCCTTCCATGGTGTTTGTTACACCAAGTGAAATTAGAGCCACTAAATCCACAATCCTGCAATCCCATGGAATTAATAAAAGCAAAAAATTCACTCATAATAGACAGACTAGGAGCAGCCCCTCCCTTGCACTCGGACGATGAAATAATAGTGTTGAAGTCCCCTACTAACATCCAAGGTATTAGAGATCTTTGGATATTAGATAAATGAGCCCAAAGAGGTCTTCTCTGGATGTGATCACACTTAGCATAAATAAAAGAAACCAGCAGAGGCTGAGTTCCCATGAAAGATACTTCTGTGGTTAAAGATTGTTCATACATATCCACCACTTTCACTCTCATACGATGGTCCCATAAAACCCAAATATATCTCTCAGTAAGAGGATTGGCCACAAATCCAGAGAAACCCAAATTCCTGCAGAAATTGGGCAGTCTATCAGCATTTAACTTGGGTTCCAATATAGAAACTAAACATACATCATTCAAGGAAATAAGCTTCTTTAATCTTCTCCTAGAGGCTTCTGAATTAGCACCTCCAACATTCCATATGATCGTACTAATCATTTAAAGGGATGTTAAAGGAGACCCTGCTAGATTTTGATCTAGTAATCATGCCCGTATGAGGATTTTGAGGGAGGGTGAGATCATTACCCCTACTAGGGTCTGAATTAACATCACAAGGATTTAATTCATAAATACTATCTAATAACTCCTCATCTGTGTAATACCCTATATCTGGGGGGTTCCTTTTCTTTGTACATACCCATTTCATCATCCAAGGAGGTACTTGAGTCTATTCTAACAGCAAAGTGATGGTCAATGAAAAAAGTGGAATCTGAAGATGGTAGACAATGATCATTTAACAAGCATTGCTCTTCTTCACTGGTTTTTTTCAATTCTTCCATTTGAAAACCACGGCAAGGCCTATCAATATTAGTAATCGCGTTCAAGCCTGGGTTGAGGGATCGAATTCCTGAATTAACTTCAAAATTAGAGGGCTTCATTCCTTGAATACCATCAACCAAGGAATTCTGCTGGGCATGATCCACCAAACACTCATGCTGGGCTCCATCTACCAAACACTCATGCTGAGCAGCATCCACCAATCTTTCCTGCTGAGCAGTATTTTCCTTCCCCGAAAAATCCCCTCTTTCCAAAACTGTGGGCTGGCTTCCCTCATTTGGAACTATGGAAAGTGTTGACTTACCAAACGAGACCTCACTATTAGCCATATGATCTACCTCTAGAATCCCCGAATTAATGGGCCGCCTCTTTCCTCCATTTAGCTATATCCAAATACTCTTCACTTGATTGACTGGGATGTGCTGTTTTGAAGAATCTGGATTCCGCTGAACTACCTTCTGATTTGTTTTAGTCTGCTGACCCTTAGATGTCTCTTGCAAATCTTGTGGAATCTTTCCCCAATCTCTGGTCTATCCTTTCCTTATTCTTGACCTCAATTTTGCGTGGCAAAGATCCTGCGTCCTTTCCTTCTAAAGCAATTTCCAAATCTGTGGTCTTCTTCTTCCTGCATTCTGCATCTCCATGACCTTGCTTTCTACAATTTTAACAGAAATTTTTTGTTAAGTTCATACACTATTTTCTGCCATCTAGCACCCTCATCCCCCATATCCATCCATATTTTTGAAGGATTCTGAGCAAGCAAGTTAACTTCCACACAGACCCTAGCCACCCCTGGCCTGGCTAAGAAAAGAGTGGCCTGGTCATAGGCAAGACCTCTGCCTATTGGCTTCACCAATAGCTCCAGAAATGGTTTCTTGAAAAAATTTAAAGGAAGGCTCGACAGTGACACCTACATTGGAACAATAGAGGGCTCTATTCATGGAACAAATGCAGAGAACCACTTGAAAAATCTAAATAGATAATCTTCAATCAAGGTGGCTTCCTTTAACAAAGTTTTGACGTAATCCTCATGCAGTTGGAACTGTATCAATATGTGTCTTGGATCGATAGAATCAACTTCAAAATCTCCCTTGAGACTCCACTTTGACGTGATTACTTCCTTGATTACTCCTAATGAAGGGCTTCCATAAGCACACATTTACCAATGAGAGAATATTGCAAGGAGCGGCAAGAAGCTTGAATTTATTCATTGGTGAAGTAGAAGGCAGGCTCTCCTTCATAAAAGACTATACTACTGGGTATTTGTTCTTGAAGAGTTTAGTCAAGGAAGAAATTAACCGTTTGTTCGAAGGAGATCACTGCTGAAATTAACTCCATCGATCTTTCCTTCCGGTGAAATCACCATTGCTTGTATATTGTGGGGAAGAGATAGAGGGGAACATTTGTGCTTGTGATTACATATGTGAAACAAATTAGGATCAAATTAACTTACTAACCAATAGGCCTTTGGTCCACCCCTTCTTGAAGTCACGAGTTCAAGTCTGCCGTCCCCTCCCCTCCCAAAAAAAAAAAAAAAAAATTAACTTACTAACTTGAATTTTGCTGCAATGAACGGTGCCTTATCAGATTCTTTGCAAGGAAAGGGGCTGTTCTTCGCAAGGAGAGAGGCTGTGAAAGAAAAGGAGTCCTAAACTCCTATTTGGATTGGTGGGAAGTAGATAGGCACTAAGCCCTTAATTGGGGAAAAAAATAGTATGATTAAAAAATAGTGTAATTAAAATTTATTTTTTTATATATTAGAGTTCGATTTGATTAAAATTTATTTTTCTACATATTAAAATTTGAGTCAATTATTTGTTGGATCAATAATTTTGAAACAATTTAAAACATTTGAACAATTTTATAAGTTGGCAATTTTAAATCTCTTATCCCTTATTATATGGATATCTGATAAAATCTAATTTTTTTAACATGCCCAAAAATATTTTTAATTTATGGATTGTATATGGGTCAATTTGAACGTGACAATTACCTTACTAACCAATGGGTTATGGTCGCCTAATACTTTACTTGAACATTATATAACATGACTCGAAAACAACTCATCATAATTTGAGTCACACCCCTTTGGATTTGGTGATGGTTCATGAAAAGTAAAACTTGGGATAAAAGTGAAACTTCATTCGTCAAAAAATTAATATTGAGCAAAGTTGGGATAAAAAATTATCAACCTAATTTAAATTCAAACAATACTCAATTTATGTCTCTACTTTCTAGGATCCAACCCAATTGAAATCAAATTTATGCTCTACTTCGATAACTTGAGATTCAAACTTGAATTTAATTTGATTTGAACTTAAATTTTTATCCATGTTTTCTACCTCTAAATGAAACCTCAATTGAAGACAATTTTGATTCAAATTTCACCCCTACCTGCATATTATCCAATTTCAAACTTTAACTATGAATAACACTCGGATTGCAATTTTCAAATTAAGTTCAGGTTAAAAATTTTAAAAATTTTGATTTGACTCGAGTTGACTTCAACTTGTTTTACACCACTATACTAACTAGGCTGTGGCATGAGTATTGATATTTAAATTAAATAAATTTGTGATTTTACTATTTCGATGTATTAAGGATATTTCATAATTTTGTTAACAAACTTAATTAATAGTGTAGTTTTGTTTAGGAATAACAAGAGCGTTATGTTTTTTATTACCATAGGTTAAGGGGTGATGTGCGGAATGACATATCAATATAGTATAATTTGAAAGTTGCCAAACGATATGAAATAAGCCACTTGACAACACCAATGTAGTGACATAAACTAAATTACTTTTAGTGACATAATTAATTTTGTTACTAAAAATATGAAAGTTTTAGTAGCGACTTGACAATCATCACTTAAAAGTATAAAAGTTTTAGTAACAACACCAATGTTGTCACAAAAACTATGAAAGTTTTAGTGATGACATCAAAGTCACCACTTAGGCATTAGTATTTTAGTGACGACATCAAAGTCATCACCAAAATTTTGAAACTTTCAGTAGCAATTAATCTTGTTACTAAAAGCAACTGTTTATTATTTTCAATGACGATAGTAAAATTCATTATTATTTGTCCAAATTCTCACACTTTTAATGACGAAGTTACGATGACGAATAATAATTCATCACTAAAAATTAATTTTTTGTGACAAACAGTGTTGTCATCTCTCATCCTAGACCATTAGTGATAAGTTCACACGTCATTGTTCAAAGGATATCATTAATGACAATAATAACTTGGTCACTAAAAACTTTGTCATTAAAGCCCATAATGTGCATTCTAAGTAATAATTTTTTATTCTTGTATGTTATGTTTTGCTTGATATTTATTACCAATATTTCTCATGTATAATATTATATTTGTATATAGGTTAATATATATTAAGAATTTTTTATTAATAGATTATTTTTTGATTAATGGTTTATGTATAAATAAAGTGAACTTAGTACTATTGTGATGGGTATAGATAGGGTTGGATTAATAGTTTAGAATTTTAAAATTAAATGAAATGGCGAAGGATATTTAAGGGGTGGAAATAACTGAATAACCTCAACCTTGTGGATTTCATATTATGGTGTTATGCAAATAGGAGTCCGGCGTCAAAAGAAAAAGAAGGAAAAAGTAAAGGGATTGTTAAATAGCTGAAAAAAGACGAAAAGAATCCACATCAAGCTAGTCTTTATAATTTAGATATCCAAGGCTAGTCTCCGATGCTGACGACGATGAACTATTTGATTTTTATGGTTCCTATAATTACCTGGATGAATAGCATGGTTATTGACAGGTTAGTGGTAAAGTCAATTTGATTCATATATAGATAGACCATCAAGTTTTTTGAATGAATGATCAAGCGTTGGGCATGTGATACCTTCTAAAAAATGACAAGTAGTCACTTTTGTCAGAAAAATTGACGGTCTGTCTACCAAAATAATACGAACTGAATATTTTAGTGACCAAATTAATACAATAAGAATTAAACTGACAAAAAATTCATACTTTAACAATCAAAAATGTTTTAAACCCTTAAAAAAAAGAAGCAAATTCCACCACTGACAACCAGCGATGAAGAGGAGACTGTTAAGAACTCTTTTCCTCTTTAAAGAGTACTGACCAAAAAATCTTCTCTAATGACTCAGACATACCAGTCAGATCAAACAATCGAAGCTTAATTAGATGTTCGACCGATGTAATGCTCCTCTTCTAATTTATGGCATCTCTCCTTAGGTACCTAAAATACCTGAGATGTCGTAGTTTAGAAACTTCAATTGGGAATGTCTTCAATAGATTATAACTTAAATCTAAAACCGTCGGCAACATACAATAACCAATTAAGAGCAGAGAGCGAAATGGACAAAAACGCTTACTTTCTGGCTTTCCCTCATACTTATTGACTCTATCTACTGTAAACTCACAGATCAGATCACACCATTGACCCTATGCGATCTCCCACCAGCGTTTGTGTTGGGAATAGTGAGTGACTCATAAGGCTTTCTTAACTTTAATGTCAATACTGTCTATTTAATTTTGCTTTTGGATAGAATGTGTTCCTTGCCAAAAGTTACAGTTCAGTGGTACTACTGTTTCGTTGTCGGGTGAAATGATAGGTTAGGGGATGCAAGGAATACTCCGCGTCGAGGAATGAGTAACGACAAGGAATAGGAACATGTGCATTGCCAATGATTTCTAGTGTATTTATGGGAAAGGGGTTTTACCAGGATAGGGTAAGCTAGGAAGTCTATCATGAATCGATGTATCAGATTTACTAGGAATAGATTTTTTTTCAGGATTAGGGTTATTAACTGTTGCCTATAAATATGTTATAACCCTTTGAATTGTGATAGAACATCAATAATGAAAAATTGTTGTTGTGGATGTAAGTAGTATTTTTACTGAACTACGTAAACCTTGTGTTATTGTTCTTGATTGTTTACCGTATTGCACGTTCACAACAAAATGGTATCAAAGCTATTGATTACTTGATCCACTGGTAGAAAATTATTTATTGGTTAGTTATGAAGCCATGAAATTTGATGGCACAAAAAATATGGAGGTATGTCATAGAAAAGTTAAGGATCTATTGGTGCAGCAGAGATTGATGAATGTGTTGGAATAAAGAGCGATAAAACCTAAAAAGACATTGGCAGAAGACTGGGAAGAGCTCCAGTTTAAGGTGGTGAGTATAATTCGCCTCTGTCTGGCAAATGATGTTTTATATCATGTAATGGATGAAGAATGTCCTTTAGTTATGTGAAAGAAATTGGAGATTCGATTCGCACCGAAATCTTTATCAAACAAGCTCTATCTTAAGCAAAAGTTGTATGCATTTAAGATGGTGGCCGGTTCGAATTGGGTTCGACACATCAATCTGTTTTATCATATTATCAGCGAGCTATTAAGGATTGATATCAAGATCATGGAAGAAGATTAGGCATTGATGCTTTTGAATTCTCTTCCTGTTTCATTCCAGAATCTAGTTATAACTCTATTGTATGGGAAGACGACATTGACTACCAAGGAGCTTACGGTGGCCCTGTTGGCATATTATAATCAGCGGAGGCAGAGTACGGTTGAAGGATCCCAAGGTGAAGAGTTCATAGCAAATGTAATCAAGATCGCGGGAGATGCAGGACTTAAAGTGCATCA